ACATGTATATTTCTTCTTCAGTAAAATTACTGTGCAGCAGTTTAGGTCTCATAATGACACTGAAGTTGTGTTAAAAATCCATGTTTAATGACCGTCAGAGCTACTTTAAATACAATGTGGGTATTTCATAATTTGTATTCCTTTTGGCAGGAGGTGCCTATTGACATGTAATGTTTAACAAATGCCCCTAATAGAGGGTGGTTCTCTTTGTATTTGCTATTACTATGCATCAAAATATATACATGTATTGATTTATATGTATAAGTCAGTTGCTTAATATTAAATCTCTGTTTTGAATAAATTGAATTTCTAGGCTAGATTTCGGATGAAAATGTTGTGTTTTTTTCCTTATTCTGTTGTAGGAATGGCAATCTATCTCACTATTTATTTAGCAGTTGTTTTTACGACCATCCCAGATGCATATACAAATTACAAAGATTGTGTAAATTACATACATGTAATTTAATTAATGACAAATAAATTTCTTTAAGAGGTTGATCATAAATATTTGATAGTCTTTTGTTTACAGAAGATAAAACCTGTGTTATTGCTGCATTTAAAAATGATCGGAAAAAATTCACATTGTTTGATTAGTTGTTTGCAGAGGTAATATATGTCCAATATACAATGTAATAGGCTAGCTACACATCCATGTAGTCTCAACAGTTTGTTGCTCAGTCCGGTCATTTGTTAACGAAAAAAAAACTAATCTCAGAATGGATTGGTCCACATACATAGCAGCCTAATAGCAGGACTAGTTTATAACACAAATTTCAGGTGAAACAGAAAAAGCTGAAATGATGACTAAAAAAATATGATCTTGCTTTCTGATTTTCATTCATATCTGATTTATATATTATGTATAGACATAAAATCATATTCATAAATGAAAAAAAAAAGATGAAGTAAAACAACAATAACATTTTATTGTTTACAAGAATTCTTATGTTTTCATGCCATGTCATATGTAAGTTATATCATGATTATTGAATGATGTGAATAATTGAAATTATGTAGTTGATTAGAGGGAAAGTTTGGTTTTGGGCAGTAGACGTTAGAAATGCTGACAGCTCCGAATAAAGTATTCCCATGCAATAATTGTACTACCAGTACATCCAGTAGAAATGTACCATCGGGGCAAGGACATGATAATGCCAGTTTGTAATCTTGATTTGATATACAAATAAAGGCAGTGTGTCATCTTTATAAACTGTCAAATGGATTCAAATTGAGTGTATTATTTGTATAACACCCTTCCCGATTTGGTATCTTTATCTAATGTTGAAATTTCATGACATCATGATAAACCCAGTATGAGCTAGGTGATTCATGATATCATTTAGTGGAATGTGAGGATATTAACTTAGTGTCCAATCTAATTCTCGCAACCATAGAAATCGCCTCAAATTTGAAAATTTTGAAAATTTTACAACTTTTAATAAAGTATTTATCAAATTTTTTATTGTTAACCCTTAACCTGCTATAGTTCTATAATGGATCTGTCCAGCTTTGAATTTGGAACAGTCCATTTAAAGTTTAAAGGGATTTCAATATCAAAATACAAAAATTAAGCTGCCAACAGTATAGAGCTGGACATGCAGGCTGGCCTGGCTCTATACTGTTGGCAAAGGCTGATCACTTTTGGTTCCAGCACTGAGTAGGTTACGGGTTAAAACATAAATATAATAAATTTAGTAAATTGAAAAAGGTGTTAATTGTCATTACAGAAGTATTTTTATATGGTTTCAAACAAATTTTACCTATTGAGCACTGAGTATAGACATATAGTACATGTCTTTAGATCTTTATTACTTGTGTTGTTTTACACTCTCACTAGTTTATTTCATTTATTGATATGCGTTTACCATTTTTCATATTCATGCATGTATATATTTGTTGTATATGAAGATGAGCTGTATATGCTTAATTCAAAATAAATATATGTTCTGTTCTGTTCTGTTCTATTTATTGTAAATGAAGACACTTTGTAATTACTTAATAGCCTGTGTTTGAATGTGCTTCTATGACCTGCTGTTTAGTAGACATATATGACATGTATAAGATAAAGATCTATCTAAAAGTAAATAATGGCATCAACAACTATACAAATTTTATTAACAAAAAAACAAAAACAAACCTAAATAATTATCTTTGGGGAATGGAAAATGAAATAAAAAAAATAAGCAAGTCAGTGGTAACTGTTGTGTATTTATATATAAATTCTTACAAATTAAAAGTAAAAAGTATCTAATTGTAAACCATGGCGGGTTATTTAGGTAAAACAACTTTCGATTTTTTTTTACTACAATGTACAAGTACAATGTGAAATAAAATCAAATCTTGTCACTTCCTTGTAAAAAATAGAGGTTATACATAGGCATGTGACTGCAGTGACCATGTAGAGTATATATTACATTAAAGTGTAGAATTCTTTCATGGTAGGGATTGACTGGGCTGTCTATTGAAAAAAAGATTTTATTGATCTAAATGCTTTGTAGTCATGGTAGAGTTACTAACAGAATGCACCACAATAAGTACATAATGTATAGGTTAAAATATATGCCAGATGAAATAGGAGCTGAATTATAAAATTTATAGGATCCGCCTTATATAATCATTGAAGTTCAAGCTATCCTGACTTGTTTCGACATACTATGCTGTCTGACCATGGTTACATAAACTTATTATACTATATATTGGAAGAGCGTGAATCAAATAAAAAATCAATCAAACAAATCATGGCCTTAGTTAAATAGTTTAAAAGCAGTAAGGAAGTTCAAATTTCAGGAAAGATTTTTCTAAAAGTTTTTGGGACGCAAGTTGTCATAGCTTTTTAACTTGTTTAGACTCAATTATATTGAAACTGCCACTTATAAACAAGAATTTTTAATGGAAGTTTTACACATACACACATGTATATATATTTTTATATTTTTTTTTTTTCTTAAATACCTTTTAAACAATACAATCGTGTAATTCCTTTTATAAAGTAAAAATATCTGATTAAACTATGTCATGCTTCAAAAGTTATTTTGAATTTTTTTTATAAAGGTTGTGGCCAAAGGTCATAATGTACCGCGTAATATTACTTAAATATGTAACCAGGTTGATTTCTTGGTTGGGATCATTGATCTTTAGAGAACCAGATATAGGACACGGATATGAGCTTATGAAAACTCATATCAATACTTGTGTAATTTCATCCCTTTTTAAAACAATGTACATTGTTAATTATAGATATTGTGTAATCTTGCAATCATGTTTTAAGGGGGTTTTAATTGTTTAAGTTTAACTTCCTTTTCTAATTAAAGAATACACAACAACAACAACAGCAACAAAATTTATAAAATTGACTGAATCTATTATTTATTCATTGATATCTATATATAATTGTTGTTTTGTTGCTACGGAACAGAGCAGTCGTCATTCTATTCAAAACAGATTAGCAGTACTGTTATACGGCAAATACGTCAAAGATTTAACTACTTATTATCCAAAAGCGTTACAATACTTTTTTTTATATCACTTAATTGCTAAATAAGTGTATGGCATGGTAGCTTGTATCCAAATTACAATGTTTCAAGTAGGATCATCATATGTTGCCATCCTTGACTTTACTTGACATCCAGTTATATAACACTAAAAGGGTAGTAAATTAACATTTCAATTTCTTTTAACTGTATTAAAGTATTAATGAGGTATGAAATGTTTGACGTACTAGGTGACTTAATTTGACCTATCTGTTATATAGTACTTTACTATATGTTATTAAACATGGCAACAGTCATAACAAACAGTACTGCAGCACAGTGAATAATGGTTTTTCCAGTCTCATCAGAATGTATGGATTTTTCCTTTATATTGTTAATTGACATGTAAAAGCCCTATAGACAGTAATACAGGGAAATTAATAATTGACTATATTGAATACTTAAAACAATGAAGTTACTTAATTTATCCAGGAATTTCCTAAGTGTTGCTTGTGACATAATGCATAAACATAAATGAGCTTGATCTGATTTCTTTAATATTCATAAAATACATGTATATAATTATTCATAAAATTTTATAACCCATTCATGTATTTACACACCTCTATTGTTTGTGATTGGCTAGATCTGTTTAAACAGAAGAAAATCTGTTGTACATGTAATACATTACAGCATGGTCTTTCTATTGCATATGTACAGGTCTTGTTTTGACAGACAGATCCGGTCATGTTAAACACATGTAAAGAAATACCTGTCTACATGCAGAAAAATAGAACAAGATGAGAAATGAAATCAAAAATTGAAACACCTCAAGAACTTTGCATTGTCAGTGTCACATGAAATTCATGACCAGGCCTTGGGGTTATAAAACTTTTTTCTGGGTTCTGTCTCAATTCTCAAGATATTCATTGGTCATTCTGTGACAGTTTCTGACCAATCAAATACCTGAGATCTGAGTTTGAGCTTGAAGAATTTCTTTATAACTTTGGGGCAAGGTGTTTCCTAAACAGAAAGAACTCATACTTGGTCAATAACCTAATATAATTACACAAAGTCTCATACCCACAATGATAAAGTTGTTTTGATATTTCTGATGTTCCAATGTGGCATTGTGTGTTTTATGTTTGCTCACCCTCTCTTGGGCAAACATTTTTTTATATCAGAATCTTTGAAGTTAACTTTAATTGATATGTAACAAGTTCTAAGACCACTGAAATCCAATATGGCATGATATGATATTTATGAATATTTTAACACCTAGCTTGAAATCCTTGGAATTTGTATGGACACAGTTCAAATGGCAAAACATGACAAGTTCAATGGTTAAGTGAAAGATTTAATATATTTTGTAACATTGGGACAATACCCCAATGTTATTAAGGCAGTTTTTCCTTGGCAATTTTGAAATTTTAGATTGCACTTATAAGTAGCTTTAAGTAGCTAAAAGATTAACCAAATCTCTTTATGTTTTATTTTATGAGATTCTAATGATATTGTTTTGTTTTACAGGAAACTATCTGATGTTGAAGGGGATATAACGCCATTAAACCAGAATAACATTTTACTAAGAGGATGTATAATGAGGAATACAGACTGGATTGAGGGACTTGTTGTCTATGCTGGTATGTATTTGGTCTTTGATAGCCAATTAATCAAATATAAAAACCAATTTCCATATTTAACACCAGTCGAACTAGCTTCTATATCAGTCTGTTCAGATTCTAAACCTACATGTATCTGACCGAACTCTACACAGTCTAATCACACTTTACGCCAGTCTGTCCAGACTGTGCACCTACACCCGTCTGACCAGATTCTACACCAGTCTAACCAGATTCTAAACCAGTCTAACCAGATTCAACACCTGTCTGATCACACTTTACAACAATCATTCAAGACTCTGCACCAGTCTGACCAAATTCTGTACCAGTCTGACCATACAACTAGAAACCATGCACCTCATGCAAGCATATTGTAAGCATATTAAGAAGCAGTTGTGTCTGCCTATATATTAAAACTGCAGCCACTCTATAGGGTCATTTGTAGTGCTTGTTAAATATGAACTTTACTCTTAGCCTGGTAAGTTCGAACTATGAACATGCCATGCTTTGAATTGGTAATCAGGCAGATTTTTTAAAAATGAAAAAAAAGTACACTGGGATAAGGTATAATGACTTGTTAAGTTATACAAAAGTACAAACTAGCTTGGCAAAGACCTGTACCTTGTATTGTCACTATCATTCAAAAAGTTAGATAAAATTCAAACATGGCTTTAAAACAATGTCACTTATTTGTTCAATAGAAGAAGAAACGTAGGACAGTAATAGGCGTAAACAGATTCCAACGTACATGTAGTTTTTCATTTAGATCAATATTTACTAAGAAATTACTATACATTTTTTCAGTATCATTCTTGATAATAATCTTCATTGTATATTAAATCCTTAAATCTATATGGTTACCCTGGAAACAAAAATATTTACCATCTACTCGAATTACTTTTGTTATATATTTTTTCCTGTATTTAAACAATTTTATCACCTGTGGTGACAGTATTGAGTTGCTTTAAAGGGACTCTACTGAGGTTTCTTTACTCGATCGATAGGACGTTATATAAAGCTTGCGAAAATACTGCGAATCATCTGAAATATTTTTTCAAGATTTGTATACCACTTGATGCATGTCTAAACTAATGACTTGCCTGTAATAATTTTGTAAAATATTTCAGATTATTCTTTTACTCAGTTTTTATAAATTGTGCAATAACACACAAAAAAGAAAAAAAACCTTTTAAACATTTTTTTAACTCAAATCCGGATGAGACTCACTTAAAACAGTTGATATTAACTCAAGTCTGGCTGAGACTCACTTAAAACAGTTGATATTAACTCAAGTCTGGCTGAGACTCACTTAAAACAGTTGATATTAACTCAAGTCTGGCTGAGACTCACTTAAAACAGTTGATATTAACTCAAGTCTGGCTGAGACTCACTTAAAACAGTTGATATTAACTCAAGTCTGGCTGAGACTCACTTAAAACAGTTGATATTAACTCAAGTCTGGCTGAGACTCACTTAAAACAGTTGATTTTCAATTTAATTCCTAGTCTGTTTATTATAAATCTTTTGCATAATTTTTTGCTTTAACTGCTCTAGTTGATCTTTGTAAGAATTTCAAATTTTGTGTACTTATGTACCTTAGTGGAGCTCCTTTAAGTCAGAATCCCGGAGAATCAGATTATATTATTGTATTGTTGTTAAATCTGCTATAATTAATGTTTTTCGCATTGAGAAACACAGTTGGAAATCCAGTTTCATTGATGAAATCTATACCTGTATATAAATTTTTATGAATGTTCCCTGGGGAAAAATCAATACCTTTATACCTGTAAAAGGACAAAAACTGGTGTAAAATGAATATATTTTAAATAATTTAGATGCTGTTCAAGGTACATTTTTTTTTTTCATCAGGAAAAAATGTTATCCATGAAGCATCAGCCAGTTCTGAAAATTAAAATTTACTCATAGGTAAATAAGCAAATGTACATTTTGTAACTCATTCAATGCATGATTTACAAGTGGTAAGCCTTTGCCACCAGTCTAATCAGCAGCTCTGTTGGCCAAACAACTTCAAATTTTTCCTTCACACATCCAAAATTAATAATAATGGGATGTGGACAAGTCCATTTAATTATTTCAGCAGATTAAGGTTTGCCATAATAAAAAGGGATCCACTGTTGATGATGTTGCCCTTTACAGCTGTAGGTTATTTTAGTTTAGCATGTTTAGACAAAAATTTTTTAATTTTATTGTGTTGGAAGCTTATCGAAACACAAGAATCTATTCCTGGAACCAGTCAGTTCGAAGCAATGAGTGTAAAGTTACTTGTTCATGGAAATAATGGCTTGCCTCTCATGGGGTTTGAACTAATGCATCCTTTGATTACTCGGCTGATGTGTTAACCACTCAGCCATGCCACAGCTGTAGGTTCAAATCTGAGTTTATAACTATTCATGTGACTTGAAAGCTATCCTAGTTACATAGCTGAAAGGCAGATGTATTTTCTAGAAACTTGCTACTTTGTATAATGCCACCCATTGCCACTCCAAACATAATTTTAATTAATAGATAAATTTTTTATAAATTTTTAAAGGGAAATTTAAAACTGTCAAAAGGTATTAAAATGGATACCCTCATCAAATGAAAAAAAAATCAGAGCTGAATCAGGAAGAGAAAAAGCAGGGATTTAAATTTTAGTCTCAATATAAATTTTATGGTGAATTTTTTATGAAAGCATTACTGTATAATATATTGATTCATTTAGGCTATAATGCTGTGAGAACTCCCAGTTTAGTGTATTTAATCATAAAAATTTGAATGGGGAAGTATTGAAGAGCATGTTGTCAAAAAGGCGCTCATTTAAGCCGTCCGGTTAGCTCAATAGTTATAGTGTTGGACTGTGAATCAGGCAATCCGAGTTTGATTCCCAGACAGTGCAGGTCACTTTCATTGTGATTGATCATGAAATTCTTTCTAAGGTCATTCACACTATAAATCTGCTCTGGCATGTACAGAAGTAACAGTTCCTTGCGAAAGTGAAGGCATCTAGTACTGGTTAACTGTTTGACAGTCTGCCCAGGAATGATGTGATGGCTGAACTGTGCTCTTGTAAATTCAATGTGGCTTACTGTCATGATACAGAGTGAAAACTACCAACACCACAACCACCAAGAGGCTCATTCAGTACATTAACTCATGAATTGCTGGTGATAGTATTTAGTCCTGTAGATATTCTGCCAAGTCATAAAGCAGGGATGTCAGCTTGAACATTATCTGTGCAGTCTGACCAAACTAAAAGTCAAACTCTTTATAAACGAGCACTTGTGTTCCAGATCTTGTGTTACATTTTAGTTATATGCAATGTAATTTGCTCCTATAAAAGTGACGTTCTATCCTGAAGCGAAGGATGATTTTGTCACAGTAGATGTTATCCATTTTGTCACAGTAGATGTTATCCATTTTGTCACAGTAGATGTTATCCATTTTGTCACAGTAGATGTTATCCATTTTGTCACAGTAGATGTTATCCATTTTGTCACAGTAGATGTTATCCATTTTGTGACAGTAGATGTTATTCATTTTGTCACAGTAGATGTTATCCATTTTGTCACAGTAGATGTTGTCAGGAACTCGGCAGATATGGGTTATTCCATTGAGCTAATCCCCTGGTACAAACAAACATTTACCATTATAGCTTCACTGTGCACTACCAGTCACAATAGATTAGTCAACCTGTTGCACTTATTTTGAAGCTGTAACTGTAAAAGTTTGTTTGTACCCTAGGATTAAGTAAGAACAAAAATATTAAGTCTATTTAGACCTGTTCATTGTTATTTAAAAGGGTTTTACAGTATTCAGATATGGCATTGTTTTGAATTTTGAACTGTCCATCATTTACATAGCTTTTTAAGTCTATTATAAAACAGTCAGACACCCTAAAATCTAGTCTAGGTCAGAATGCATGGTTATGGACTGACAATTTACCACTGATGGCATCCATAGGTTTATTATATTCATTGTTTAATGTTATCATTCAAATACAGTTAAACAAACAGTTGACAGATTTGTCTCAAAGGGATTATAAGTGGATGAGATTCTTTGATGACTTAATGACTTTTGTTGCATATGTGGTTCAATGACATTTTGAACATTGCTTTATAACATGTTATGTAAATGTATAAATTCATTGAACTTCCTGCTTGACCATTGTACCTGAATACTGGCAGTATGAGGATTCTATAATTGCAGATTAAAGTCCAGCTCTCTGTCTACCAGGGCATTTTGTTTTCAAAGGGGCAGATATTGGGCCCAATTTCGTATCCAAAATAATCCCTTTTCTCACCACACCCCCTGCCAGCCACCACACCCAAAACAAAAGAAAAAAATGAATGAATAAATAAAATCGAACAGTTTCAGAGAAAATGAACAGTTTTGAGTTGTGTCGTTAGAACAGGGATTTAATAATATACATGAATCAGTGTTAAAGGTTTTTAATGAAATAGTTTTTAAACTTTATAATTTTTTCTCAAATTTTCCCAAAAAATTCCATCTTCCCAAATATAAGCCAGGGAAATTTTTCCCAAAATAGCTTGTAAGAGCCCTGCCTACACTTTAATGTAAAAAAGATATAGATGTTGAATGGTAATTATGGTAAAATTTTTGTTAAAAATATATTTTATTAAATGTTATTATAAGCATAATTTTTTTTGCGGTATCTATTTATTTATAGGTTGTTAATTACATATATTTATTATTTGTCATACTGGGTAAATCATGTGGAAAGTTTATCTAGTCTAAATAAGGGTAAATAAACACTTTTTTTACTGTATTTGTTTTGTGGTTTCAAGCAATAAATAAAATATACCTCTTGTCTGATTAATATGTGCAGTGAGATATAAATTCAAGATGGAGGTATATTTACCCATACTTCAGACAGAAGATTTTATCTTTGCATGATATTTTCCCCTCCAGCTAAATGCATCTGGTCAGAAAAAATAGCGTTTTATTTCCTACAGCAATTTTAATATTAATGGGGATACAATCTATTCTAAAACTTGATGTAGATTTTACTTTTGAAATTAGCAGATAAGAGATTTCAACGTCTTTGATTTCTGTAATAATTATTTTCCAATTTGTAATAAAGTTAAAATGCAGGTAGTGACGTAACCATTGAACAATTAAGAAGAAAAAAACACACACAAAAACACAAGCCCCCCCCCCCCCACCCAAAGGATAATGGTAAAACACAAATGAGAATTAAGTATTAAAGGGTAAAAAGCTGTATCTAATTAAAGAAATATTTTTAAAAAAATTATGTTGTTTTTGAGTCTTGATTTTGTGCATGCCTCGTTCATTATACAATTTCTTTTCATACAGGTATTTTGGAAGTTTTCCTATTCAAAATTTAAATTGAGAGTTTTTGCAGCAGATATAAAGCTTTATACACATAAAATGTTGGGTATTTTTTTCTTTCATTTAAAGGAAGAGATAAGAAAGCACTTTTAAATTCAAAACAGGTCAAATCAGTAATATAGATTTGGTATAGTAATGGGTTTTGCTTCCTTTACAGAACCTTTTCCCCCTCATATTTCTGCATTATTTCCTATTTATGTATGTTAGCCAACTTGATGGCCCCAGAAAAGTTTGTGGTACTTATCCTCTCATGTGAAATCTGAAAAGTTGCCATAAGGTGACCAGTTTGGAATCCACATGACTGCAAGTTACATTGATGCTCTGGAACATTTAACTAGTAATATAGATATTTATGTGAATTATTTGCTTGTATATTCTAGGTCATGAGACCAAGTCGATGATGAACAATCGTAACCCACGTTACAAGCGTAGCAAGCTAGAGAGGGCTTTAAATCGTGATGTCATCTGGTGTGTGATCATACTGCTGTTTCTCTGCTTCTTCTGTGCTGCAGGTATGTTTTTTTTGTAAACTGTCTTTTGATTGGCTGATTATGTTCATTATTTTGAAAACTGACCAATGGTAAGCATGTTTTCTTTCAGTATCATTTTAAGTTTGATACAGCAGATATAAGGAAAACAGTTTAAATAACATTTATTATATCAGCTAATTTTGTGCTCACTTTTACACATTAAAGTCCAATTTTTCATGAAAATTTTGAAAATGTATTTAACATGAATTATTATGAATTAAACAAAGAAAGAGGTCATGTTATATAAATAAGCCCTTATTATATTAGTCAGACAGGAGAAATATGGTGTTAAATAATGCAAAATCAGTCTTTAATTGCACGTAACAAGTAAACTATTAAGGTAGACCATGGGTAACGCATTACCTCCACTTTGAAGAGTATTCAAAAGGCTAGAATCGCTTGCAAACTACACTGAAATTGTGGGGCGTGGGTTCAAGCCCCAGAAGGAGCAAATCTTTTTCTTTCTTTTTTTTCTTTTTAACATTTTTTTATGTATCTCTCTGATCCCTTATGGAAGAAAAGGGGTTTGATTTAAATTAAATAATTATTGTAGAAATTTATTTGCTAAATAATGCGAAAATTTACAGTAAATATGATACCAGACATTTTCAAAGTTTAATAAAATAAAAACTACACGGTAAATGTATTTTATATTTCGCATGATAAACCAATATACCTTTAAGAAAATTTAGGCAAACTTTGAAAATAGCCCCTCATTATGGTAAATTTTAGGAATATTTTGAATAAGGCATTTTACATAGGGAAATAGTAAAATTAGTGTTTAAAGTGGGTGGGGTAGGATAACATTTTTATACATATTCAGAACATTTTGTTTAGAAACAAACCTTTTGCTTGTTAATTTGTTACCTGAATGTTATTATTTGTTTCTTAACAATGGGCAATAGAAAAACATTTTTTATAATGATGATATTACAAATTATTTAGAGTTTCTTCATTTCTGAAAATAAGCCCTTCTAATGGCAAAGTCTTAGTTTAGAAATATATCCATAACTCATAAACCTAACGGTAAATTTTATTTAAATTTTGCATACAGGTGACCTTAAAGACATATAACTGTCCTATGTTGTCAATTTAACAGTTCCTTATGGTGCCCATTACCCATGGTCTACCTTAAGTGAATCTTTTTACTTTTCTTACAATTTTAGTACATTTTTACTCAAGTTTGATTCTCTTGTAATATTTTGGCTCATATGGAGGTGTGCAGCTTAAATATAAGGCAAGCCTATACTCATCTCAGAATGAATAGCTTTAAGCTGATCTTTAAGCAAGGCAGTTATGTTATATAAAGTAAAATTAAAAGGCAGGGTTTCTATTCTATTGGTGAAGACTAGAAATATAGTAATATGAGATGCCAGCGGAGAAAGAGTGCGTCTTAAGAAGTCTACATTGGATTGCCAAGTAAATAACGGTAATGACAAAGCAAATTACAAAACAATAGCTGCTATTGATTATAGCAGCTCATATATCAAGGAAACCATTATTATGTTCATCATGCTTTTTTATCAAAATGAGACAATAATTATTTTAAATCCAACATTTATATATTTACAGGTAGTGCATTATGGCTGGGACAATACGAGGACAGCACTGTCGTACCATTTATACCATTTGAGAGTTCTGAACAGTTCAATCCATATTTTCAGGCATTCATTGTGTTCTTCACCTACATTATCATCTTCCAGGTATATTTGAGTCATTGTTTAAAACATTTTTTTGATATAATAATATTAGCTATATAGTCTATACGTTTGTTTGTTTGATTGGGTTTTAAGTCGCACTGACACAGTATAGGCCATATATCGACGTTTCCAGCTTTTCTGGTGAAGGAAAACCTCATGTGCCCTTCTGTGCATTATTTCAGGCTTAAACGGGTACCTAAGTAGAACCACCGACGTTCTGTAAGCTAGCTGGATAGCTTTCTAACATGAAAGAATTCGAAGTCCCTGTTGGGATTCGAACCCACAGCAGTGAGGGGCAAGTGGTTTGAAATCAACGATTGTCACCACTCGGCCACAGACACCCCATATAGTCTATTCAAAGATAAACTTTCAGATTAAAGACGTTTCAAGATCGGTGACCCCAATTTTTTTTTTAGCTTAAAATGTTTCTTTTATAGTATTCTAACAACATGCCAAGTTTAAAGAAATTCTATTGATCAGTTTTATTTTTGCCTATATGTCTATATGAAAACTCGCCTAAATGTCTTTAATGTGACCCAGTAATAGTCAAAGTTTAAGGTTCTTTAAAAAAGTTGCCATAAGTTTTTAGTTTAACAGTTTAGTCCCCTATAGATATACAAACTGACTGGCCCTATCTATTCATGGCAGTTGCTTTTATGTGTTTATAAAGTCAGTTATTTTATAACACATGATCTTGGCCCTATCAATGCATGGCATGTGCTTTTACATGTTTTTAAAGTCTGTCATTTTATAGCACAAGATATTTGCTGTTTGATTGCCTAATGAAATAGTTTGAAATGTTGATTCAGTATTTCAAGTGGTTATAAATGATCATGTGTAGAAACTGAAAGTTAGTTAGACTTACGTAAGTAAACATAAACATGTCTTAGTGTAACATTTTATTTATAAGGTTTGATGTAGAAAATAGTTAAATAAGAGATATTGTAGCTATTACTTGACCTCTATAGTCCCAATTGGAAATTTTACTCTAACACAACCAGCATTTTTCCCTATTGAACATAGAAGGACCAAAAGTGTGTGTAAAAATGCAATAAAATTACAATCTATATTTAGACATGTGACATAATCATTAAAAATATGACTTGCTGAAAAAAAAGTACAGAAACAAACCAGGCACAATTTAGCTTGATATCAGGTACGGCAGCATTTATTTGTTGATGATATGTTAGAATTGAAAAAAATATCATCCCAGCAGTGATTTTAACACTTAATAAAATCACTGTTTGTTGTTTGGATGCACAGCATTATATCACTGGGGCTATGCCCCTCATGATATCAGTAATGCCTTGTATCTGAACTCCAGACAGTGTTTTTGTTTAGTGATAAAATCAATTAGAAATAATATATCTCTGACAGTGAATTTATCACAAAAGAAAATCATTGTTGGAGATACATGTATATTATTTCTTAAAAGTAAAATTTGAAGAAAAAACAGGCATGTCATTCAATTAGATCAGTTGTGATAATCGATGGAATAAGGTCATGTATAATCATAATTATGTAATTATATATTCATGTATTATATTTCAGTCTGTGATACCATTACCATTGTATGTATCGCTGGAAATCATCAAACTTCTTCAAATATACTTCATTAACCAAGATTTACACCTTTACTACGAGCCCACAGACAAGCGTGTAGAATGCCGGGCTCTCAATATTACAGAAGATCTCGGCCAGGTGGAATATATATTCTCCGATAAAACTGGCACTCTTACTGAAAACCAGATGGAGTTCAAGTCATGCACAATTGGTGGGAAAAATTACCCTCATGTACCAGGTAAAACAATTTCTTTTCAGCTTGACTTTTTAAGGAAGAGCTACCTAGTCATAGCTTTGTATCTTCAAAACTACTGAAGAGAATGGGTTGAAATTTCACACACATATTTGTGAGCATAATAGCGGGTCACTTTCTAAGGTCCAAAACTCTAGCAATCATTTAGGCAGAATAACGGCCCTTTTTGAACTTGGAAAATGTTTACATTATCAAAGTTCTTGTTTTACTATCAAGCACTGAGAACATTCGAGTTCTAGCCAGATGACATAGTCAGGTCTTTATTACTACTGGTATTTAGACATTTGCTGATAAAAATTACATTCATTTATCTTCACAGTAATTGTTAAAAAAATTGTAGTCTTTGTTGAATTGCTAGTGCTTTTCATTGCATTTGAACTGTATAATTTGTTCAATGTGTTACATGCACACATATAAAGGGTTATTACCTCATTGCATCTGATTGCATGTAATTAAAATAATGCACTAATGGATAAAAATTGTTTAAATATCTTCAGAAGCACTAAATGGTTAGGGAAAACCCAGCTAAACAAACAAATGCTGGTTGTGTAAATAATGAACTGGTTGATTTTATTACAGAGTTTGACGATGATATACAGAGTGAGACTGGGAGCCGTTATTCTCTTGCCAACATCAGTCGAAATAGCTCAGTAAGTTGATCAAATATGATAACACCAATTTAAAATGTTTGTCTCCATTTTGCATGAGGTTTGGCAGTGTTGAATGCTGTTTTTAAAAGGGGCTTTGTTGTCTTCATTGTTTAATTTTTGAGGGGAGAGGTGTACCTTATGAAGGAATTCTTTGTTTTTGACTTGTGTTTTTACTGTTAAGACAGAGGCTGTTGAACAGAATATACAATGTTAAGCAAATTTCAAACAATATTTGTGTCACATAAGGCCTAAATTGAAATTTTGTTTGTTAATGTTTCCCATCATGCTACATGAACTTACCCACAAAAATCACTGGATCTAATCACTAGATTCCTATTAACAAAATTCTCTAACTTATTTTGTGTTTTTTGTTATAATAGCATTTTTTCAAAGCTTCAACTTTATGTTGTGTTAAGATAACTCTTTAAGTTGTTTTTTTAACACACTGACACTGTTACTGGTCATACTGTGGCTTTTCAGCTTTACTGGTTGAGTAGGAACCTCAGGTGCTGCTCCATACTTCTTTTAAGACATAAGCTAGTTAAGCTAGCTGGATAGCTTCTTCAAAGTCCTTTGAAGGATTCATACCCTTAGGTTTGAAGTCAACAATTTTCACTGCTTGGCCACTGATTCCCCATTTAATATGCATGTATATGTTCTTATGATATTATATATTGCTGATATGAGGATTTTTAGCTTGACTGTTCAAAGAATAGGGAGAGCTACTGCATTCACCCAGGCATTGGCGCCACACATTATACAAGCTCTTGTTTTACTATCAAGCACAAGTAATAGTTGAGCACGCTGTCCTACCAACAGCTCTTGTTTTATTATAATGTGAGGGCATTTTAGTTATGCAGAAATAAACCTTGTATTATAATTTATCAGGAAGGCAAAAGGAAATTTGGATATCAGAAAGCGGTAATAATATCAATGAAGTTCTATATAGATGATTTTCATGATATATTCTAGGAGAACTCTAATCATAACCCAATTATTTATCATTTCACATATAATGGCTTTTTATGAAAACTTTTCACCTGCTTTATACTTATTAAAATGGTATTAGTGTCCAACTTTATTTGTCATCCAATGAAAACGCTGTATTTCTTAAAAATTCTGTGCGTTAATTTTCCTAGAAGAACAAAAGTCGATACTATATCGAATTTCGTTCATAGTCGACTTCTATTTTTCATAGTACTTCATAGAACAACATAGTGACGTGATAAAGTGAGTGATTATGAGGCCAAATAAAGTTTGACACTTAATATGTTAGTATTCATCCGTTGCTGTTCTACAGAAATTAGAAACATTCTCCTGTCGCTATCGCTCTCGTCGAAGTTTCTAATTTCTGTAGAACAGAACGGATGAACACTAACATATACTTAGGTATTAATGGTTTAATGTTATTAGTGTAATTTTGTGATAATTTTTTATTATCCAATCTTAGTGATTATTATTTTAAAAATTTCTAATAATTCTTAATACTGATATTGATAATTTTACAGTTCCGACCTATTTTCCTACCAATTTTTTATTTATCTTTAGATTTAAAACTTTGATTTTGCATAGAAAGTTGATTATGGCAAATTAGATTTAAACTTTGATTATTGCATTGAAATTGATTATAACATAAAATTCCTATGGTTTCTTTCATTTTAAATTTATAGTAACATTTCATTGTTTAGATAAATCTTTGTTTTAGACATGTACCATTACAGTTTGTTTAAATTATCCTAAAATTTGTTGTTTATTCAGACAATAGAGTTAAGGCACAAATTTTTCTTTGAATATTCCAAAACATAATTTTGTTAGTGTATATAGAAAGACATGAATGGCCAAAAGTTTTCCATTTCACTTTATAGAAAATTTATTCTTTACATGATTTATTTTGTGTACACATTGTATTTTTTATGAATTCAATGCATGTTTTTATTCATTTTTTTTTCTTCTTACAAAAGTTGTCTGATGTTACAATTTTAAATAAACCCTGTTGATAAATCTTCATTATTTTAAAATATAAAATCCGGATCCTGATGAAGGTTTGGTGGTAGAAAATAAATAACCCACTCCACAGTTCTGGTGTTGATGTGTTGTACTTTTCCATTTTCCTCTTATTGTGAAAAAAAAAAACACATAGAAGCAATAATGATAATTTAGTTCATGTAACTATTCACAAATCTCTTTCTTTTTAAGCACTCTTCAACTAAGGTTGTAATCTCACAGACTTGCTGATAGAAGAAAGTGTACATTTCCATATTTAGTCACCTTATTGCAGTAACAGGTTAACTCCTTTTAAATTATATAAGAAGTTAACCCATTACTGCACTAAGGTGGCAATTTATAATTGTTTGAAAGGACTATTTTTTCAAGAAATTATTTAGAAATTAATATTTTAATGTATACAATGCACTTGTATGCTACCCAATATTCTGAAGAACTTTGTATGATATATGTTTGAGACTCATTATGTTTTCAATTTTACAAATTTCTTGTAATGTAAAGAAAAATATTTTGAGAATCAGTCTTAGACTTGTTCTGTGAGAATTGTTTCTTTGATATCAGATATTAGCGAAATATATCTGATATATTTTTCATTGATATCAGATATATTTCATTGATACAAAATACTATTTCATTGATATCAGATATATATTTCATTGATATCAGATGTATGACACTTTTAACATTCTTGTAGAAGGTAATGCTAACAGAGACAGAGTGATATGTTATAAAGATGCACACCTCCTAATACTAAAAGATTACTAAAAAGAAAACAACAGACTGTTAAAAAAATGTATTGAAAGTTTAAGATATGTATGAAATATTCATTATCCATTTACAAGTTTGCATGTTTCATTTAACAGAATGACTAAATTTAGTTATATTTTTTATTAAATTGGTTTTAATGCAGTAACAGTTCTTATGTTCGTTTTTGGTTGTTGTTTTTATGTGGGGTGGGGGTGGATTTATGCAGATTGTGAATACCTTAAGGTACCTTACATTACTTTATCTGTTTAATTTATAATAATCACTTGTTAATGCACTTAATCACCTCTAGTACCAGCAGGATGAAGGATTAAATATCTTTAAATTTCAAAAATTTGTTTTTACAAATTTTCATGATACTAGTATATTATGTTATATCTTATTTCTTTATGATATATTTTATGACATATCTTATTTCTTTATCATATATTTATATATTTTTATTTTCTTTATATCATATATTTTATGTTATTTCTTCTTTTTTAAATATTTTTAAATATTTACAGGGAAATACAATACTTATATGAAAGAAATACAATCCAAAATTGATAAACAAGCAAAAAAAACAACAACAAAATATAAAGTGCCCTATAAAGATTGAATTTCAGTTTTATTTTCTTGGAATGGTTTGTTCATTACAATAAATGTAATATTGGTTTTGTAGAATGACAAAGAAATAATAGATTCAAAGAGAAAAGCCTAGCAAAGAGTCGCCTTTATTCCAATTATGTCTTCTGCTATTGTTCTTTGTTATTATTTTAAAAATAAATTTCTCATATTTCATAAGCAATATTGTCACGATTTCTAAGGTATATCTTGCCAGAAAACTTGCTAAGTCATATCTCATGTTTAAGTTCTCAGAATATTATTTGTCATCATAAATCATTCTAGTAATGATCTGTTTATTAGAAAAAATGCAAACAGATTTCTGCTGTGAATATTTACCTTGATGTGATAAAATAATTTGTTCTTGTGAAATTTCTGCACTTTATGCAAAAAAGGAAAAATGCTAAAGTACTTAACCTATAATTAATGCACCTTTTTGAGTGCATTAACATCTGCAGAAGGGTTAGGACTTTTTTGAAATCTGACCCCTTAAGCCTGAAGGCTTCTGCAGAAGTTAATGCACAAAAAAAGGTGCATCAGCGCTTATCTTGCATAAAAGTAATTGATAATTCTGCATTTCAGTATCTCATAATCTGTATTTCATATAAAGAAGCCATTGCTTGTGCCATGCTTGTACCTTATCATTTAACAGTTATGTTTTGATTATAAAGCTACTGGGGCCATCATTGCATTAAATGTTATAACATTGCGCCCTGAGTCAGACATATTAAAAACCGTGCAACATTGGCACGTGCTAATGAGAAGAGAATGTATCTGTTATGCCATGTTTTCTTCTCAGTTAATGTATAACTGTTTGCGCAGTTCATGCAAGAATTTATTTAAAAAGGCATTTTTTTTTATAAATGTTGTTAATTTACTCACTTTATAACTTGTTTTTGTAGCCTGACAAGTTCTGTTTTTTGTTAGCATAAGCTCTGTGTGAAACATACCAGCATTGATCTATAAAATTTGAGCATGTTTAGTACTAATGTTATAAAAATTAAACTTTTTGTTATTTTTACAGGTAATGGAGAATTTGAAGTTGGAGACTGAGATTCAGAGAGAGTTATCCTGTATGTGCCTGCGAAGTGTGGGGAGCATAGATGTTACAGTGCCTGCTAATTCTCACAAAAATCAAGTCCAGGAATTCTTCCTGCTCATGGCAATCTGTAATACAGTGGTTGTCTCCCTTCACCCTCATGAAGATATTGTGAGTAATTTCTTTATACAATATTATAATTACCTTTAAAATGGTTAAAAATGATGCAAGCATTTGTATTTACTGAGCAAATTTACATTTTGTCATGTTCCGCACAAAAAACATATCATGTGACATTCTAAAAAAATATAGTATCAGATTCGTTAAAAAAAAATATGAGTATAATTGGCAAAGTGTCAACAGGATATTGGAATGCTGCCAAGTTTTATTTTTAGAAATTAATTGAGCTTTTGAAGTTGTATCAGAAATTCCATCAATATTTAAAAAACAAACCCACAGATGTTGCGAAACTCTAGCTGGATGGATAGTCAGTCATCATTATCATTGGTGAGCTCAGAATTGCAAGTGGTGACGGAAACTTTGGTGTATGTACCTCAAAGATCATGTCACCATTTGTTAAGAAAGTTTGTGGTTTCTTCTTTAATGTGAGATATCTTATTCTGCCTTTTAACATAGTTTTTCATGGTTGAAGGGTTGTTTGAGTGTCGATGGTTATGAGTTTATCTGGCGGTGATCGGTGATTTTGACCAGCTTGAATTTATCTTACTGATGTTTTGGCGAATCACATCTTGAAAGTGTTTATTTTGACCATCAGATTAATACCTTGTGCAGATGGTTAGATTTCAGGTTGAAGTTGTCTAAATATGTTCTTTTAGTACTGACACAGGTCAATAAGAGATTTTTCATCACTATTTGTAAGTTTGGTTTGATTACCTGTACTTGAATATGTTACGGTGTAAGATTTACCCATAGTTTGGTATAGACTTAGTGGTGCGATATACTGTAAGGCTTTGTTGGGTTAGCTGCCTAGGCCTGAAATCTCTCCAATTCTCAATTGACAGTAACATATTCAATACATCACAAGTTAATTAACTAATACAACATAAGTACTAATGCAAATGACCTTTGTAAGAAATAGTATCATATTTGTAAAGTATGCATTTACGATTCAGAGTATATTTTTTCACTTTGGAGTTAGAGATATTGCCTGTGTATAGTGAAATATAAGAAATATACCCATTGTACAGGTAAATCCATTGGAATATGGTAAACTTTATTTTCCTAAAGTAAGTTTTGACAATAAATTCCTTCCCCCATTTTATAATGTATATAACATATAAACGTAATTAAAAATATGTAAGAATACATGTACAATGATCTTGAAATTATTTTGACTTAATGTAAACTTCTTTTTCCCTTTTGTATGTTTGTCATGTATTTTATATGTTATTTTTTTAGTGTAATATATTATCATTTATTGCAATAATCTGGTATATTATTATATTTTTATATAATTTTATTCTGTGTATTCAATCCCTTTTCTGAACATTCATGGTTACAAGTTTTTATATTGACCAATGTTTTTAACTGCTAAATCTTTAGTTTGATTTATTATTTTACCCTCAGTATTCAGTTAATATAATTATATGGTATAATTGTAAGAATGTAAAATACACAATGTGTTTCATTTTAACCCAGCCGTTTTTTTCCAAGGAAAAAAAAATTCCCGTTGCTGTCTGCAAACTTTAACCTTGATCATAAATTTTTAAGTTCTTGGTGTATTGTTTTCATACTTGGCTACAACAATCCTTGTTATATGATTTAATATTAATAAGTAAGTATTTTAGATTAGGTATAAAATGAAGTATTTGTCAATATTACAGATGGATGATGAAGGAAACATTGCCAGTAGTTCAAACAGTCTTCACGTACCAACGGTATCAGCAAAAGTAAATCTGAACCAGAACCAATCAGAAAATGTTTTTATAGAAAAATATACAAAATTGGCTGATTCTGAGCACAGGAAAAAACTTCCGCCTTTAAATCAAGACGGGACTACTCCGAGAGCTAGTAAAAGCTTATTGCCACCAATTCACCATCGTTCAAGCCTAGATGTTGATAAATTTCCTAAATATACACAAAGACTCGAATATATGCCAAAAATATCTACTCCAACCGGAAGTGTTGCCGGAAGTATAGCCGGGTCATCAATAAGGTCAGATATGTCTCGGACACGATACGAGGCAGAAAGTCCGGATGAATTAGCTCTGGTTAGGGCTGCAAGTACTTATAACTGCTGTCTGAAAGGGAGAACAGCAAATTCTGTGACAGTATGGCTGCCAGGTAATGAAAATTTGTAAACGTTTAAAAAGATATTTATTTTAAATGAGTGAAAAAAGAGAACACCCATAAATTTCCTTAAACAATTCAAAGTTTATCAAAGTATTTTACATGAATCTTTATCGTCTGTTAAATCATTTATAATTTAAAAGCCAATCGAACTGAAAATAAATAAAGCAGAACACTGTAACATTTTTTGCGACTTTGAAGATTTTGGATTTTTTTTTTATCACAAAAGAATGATAAGAGAGATTTATGTTATGAAGTGTAATTGTTAGAACTAGAAAAATAAATTAATGTGCGATCATGTTTATTTTTCAAGGGGAAGGTGAAGTAGAGCTCAAAGTTTTACATATGTTATCATTTGACTCGACCAGAAAGCGAATGTCTGTGATAGTAAAACATCCACTCACCAAAGACATTATTCTGTATACCAAGGGAGCTGACTCTGCTGTTCTTAGTGTACTATCCAAGAAATATAGAGGTAATTATATAACTTAAGTTATCTACAAATTACTACTTTGTGCAATGGATTTCACCAATTTTGAAATTAATCTTGAAAACAAGTCTTTTCACAGTTAAAGGGATTTAATTACCAAAATTTAAAAAAAAAAATTGAGCTACCAACAAACTGCAGTAGAGAATCTGATCAGACAGCACGAGTGGCAAAGCATAATTATCATTTTAAGTTCCAACATGTTAAGAATTAAACAAACGAGGCTTTATGTCCAGTGGCAACACTGTCTGAGTACTAATTAACAAAGGTTCCAGGGTATTTTTTCAACTTAACAAAATACAAAAAATAATGCTTTTTTTGAGAAATTGAAAAGAGAAGATAAAAAAAAAGTAAAAAAAGAACCAAAATTATAGAAATAGATAGGACAAAAAAGTCCAAAAAGAACCCAAATTATTGAAATAGATAGGACAAAAAAGTCCAAAAAGAACCCAAATTATTGAAATAGATAGGATAAAAAAAGTCCAAAAAGAACCCAAAGTATGAAATAGATAATGATATTATAATAATTCTTTAAAATGAATGATACCATTTTTACTTGCAGAGGAAGAAGAGTATATAAAGATGAGAAGAAACACAGAGGAACATATTCTAGAGTATGCTATGCTAGGACTCAGAACATTATGCATGGCTAAAAAGGTAGGTAATTTACTTTCTTGCAATACATTCTATAGATCCATACTCTTACCCTTTTATTTGAAAAAAAAATTGATTTTGAAGCCCTCGGGGGCCATTATTCATTTTGCGAGCTGGTAATCACCTTCCGGCCCTACTCTGCCGTGTATTAATCTCTTATTACCACAAACATAAATGTAAAAAGCTGTTTGTGGTGAAATTCTTATTGTAATTCAATAATCTGATAACTTGAACAAGACAGGTAATAAGAGTCTCATAGGGATCTATCCATTAATCTAAACTTTCTTTTTTCAAAAATGTTTCATGATATAATGATAGAAAAATAGTGTTAGTAGAATGCTACCAAAGACACAATAAAGGTTTCCCAGCTGTTTGTTGATATTGAAAATTAAAAATTCATACAATGTACTGCAGTAATTCTGTTCAGGGTAGGGATTGGCAAATTATGCATTGTAAAACTTGTTCAACAGTCAATAAAATGTTCAATAAGATGCAAGTTTATGTCATAAACAGCTCTCAGGCTTTACTGGTTTAGTAAGACGAAAACTAGAGGGAAATGATTTGAAGTCAGATGTATTATAAAAGTTAGTTGCATGTAACTACATCTTATGTATAATCATTTTGAATTCCAATACACAAATACTACTGTTTTAGATTGCAATTTTGGTAAACAAATAATATTGTTTTAGATTGTCAGATAATGAATATGATATATTATTTCAGACAATACCGAAAGCAGATTATGATAAATGGGCAAAGGCTCATTTAGAAGCTGAGTCGTCATTAGAGGATAGAGAAGAGAAACTGCTGGATTCTGCGTGTAGAATAGAGGCTGATCTCGAACTCCTGGGTGCCACAGGTACGCTCACTTCACACCAATTTAAACCTTTCGTTGTAGGGTTTAAATCTTTAACAAGCTAAATATCTTAAATGGACTTGTAATGCAATTTTTTATTATGCCCCCCTGCATAAAGTAATTGAACCATCCTTCCGTCTGTCCGTCCGTCCGAGCAAACATTTTAAGTTTAGGGGCTATATAACAGTAAAGAGAACAATAGGTTCATTCCGTGATCAAAGAGTTTAGAGGCTAGTAGCCCTTAAGAAAACAAAGAAAATAACAAAGAAAATAGCCCCTAAAGCCAAAATGTTGGAACGTCCGTCCATCTGTCCGAGCAAACATTTTGGCTTTAGGGGCTATATAACAGTAAAGAGAACGAAAGAGAACAAAAGGTTCATTCCGTGATCAAAGGGTTTAGAGGCTAATAGCCCTTAAGAAAACAAAGAAAATAACAAAGAAAATAGCCCCTTATGCCAAAATGTTGGAACGTCCGTTCGTCTGTCCGTCCGTACGAGGTTCACCTAGAACGGGAAGTTGGATTTTTCTTAAGTTCTGCCTGTACCAATGGCTTCATTATTTACACACTTACTAATCTATACAAATTATATGATCTGGGCAACTATGACTTCCATTTGCACTAAGTTATGGCCCTTTTCAGCACTTAGAAAATGAATAATGGTTAACCTAAACCGGAAGGTATTTTTGCTGCGACCAATTTTAACAGAATAATGGCCATTTGTTGATTTTTAGTTTTCAACTTGTGGCACATGTAGTCCAAAAAATATTTGACCTAGAGTCATAAGATTGACAGAACAGTGGCCTGTGGGGGCATCCATGTCCTACATTTCTAGTTATTGCTTATAAATTCTTGTCTTAATTAGAAGTTTCAAACATTTTTAAAACAGTTTATGAGCTCAAATGTCAAACTCATACTCAAATTTAAAGAGGTTTATAACAATTTTCCATTGTAGGTATAGAAGACAAGCTGCAGGAAGGTGTACCAGAAACTATTCACAACCTGCGTATGGCAGGTATAAAAGTGTGGGTGTTAACGGGAGATAAACAAGAAACTGCCATACAGATAGCATACTCCTCACAACTCTTCAATCCAGAACAACAACTTATAGTAGTCAATGCTGAAAATAAGGTAAGATTTGTAGATGAATTTCTGATCTTTTTTTGGTTAGGTTTTATGTTGCACCAACAAGGTCATATTATGACTTATCCTTTACTAATGGAGGAAGACCTCAGGTGCCCATCATTCTGTATATTATAGAACTACCATGTTCCGGTCATATGGCAACTTTTACGCTTTACTGATGGAGGAAGACTTCAGGTGCCTCTGTACATTATTTCAGTCACAACCAGGACCCTGAGTAGAACGTAAGCTAGCTGGATAGCTTTCTCACAATTAAAATCCGACGATTTTTGCGCATCACATACTCAGACAGGCAAGTGGTTTAAAGTCAACAACCTTAACCACTTGGCCAAGGATGTCACAATGTATTGTTTCAGAGGGTCATTATTTTAAACCTAACAGCTATTTATTTCCCATAAGTAGTTGAGAACACTTTTGTTCATGTGCTTCCTAGTCTCTGCTTTATATGCATGGGTATTTATAGACCTTGCGTTTAGAACTTACTTGATTATGTAATTTTGTTATTTGCTACAGGAAGCAACGTCGGACTTGATGAGGCACCACCTGGAGGAGATTATCCTCGAGGAGAAAACTCCGCAGGAGACGGAGACTAGCCCTCCAACAAAGAAAAAGGAGTATGGTCTTGTTATTGATGGTAAAACTCTGGCATTTGCTCTTGAAAAGGACATGGAAAAATTGTTTCTTGTTTTGGCGGGAAAATGTAACTCTGTCATCTGCTGCAGATCTAGTCCAATACAAAAGGTAAGACACTTTGTCACATGTTTTTTCTTGACGGCAGTCACACTGATTTTGTTAATCTTCATGTGTAAAGAAAATAGTTAAGAGTGAAACTTCATTGTTAATTATAATTCACTGTATCATTATTTTCAGGGTTTGGTTGTACATTTAGCGCGTGAAGAACTGAAAGTATTGACGTTAGCTATTGGCGATGGTGCGAATGATGTTGCTATGATACAGATGGCAGATGTTGGTATCGGTATTTCTGGTCAGGAAGGCATGCAGGCAGTCATGGCCTCGGATTTCGCCATTGCACGATTCCATTTCCTTGAACGTATGTTACTCGTTCACGGTCACTGGTGCTATAGTCGGATGGCTAGATTCTCTGCTTTTATGTTCTACAAAAGTTTGGTAAGTATCGCCTTTGTTGTTGTGGATTTTAGATGTTTTATATTAATATGTTAAGCTGTAGTTTGAGTTTATTATTCTAAATAAAATAATAATAACATGTGGTATATTTCATTACAGTTTGATAGATTGTTAAAGCACAAAATTCAAAACTATTTTAATTGGAAAAAAATAACAGTATCTATGTGTACATTCCTTATAATTTTCATAGATTATGAGAAATATATATCTATGTAAAATATACAATATATGATAGCCGGATGAAGTTATTAGTCCCCTAACGGATTACCGGAGGGGACTTTAGGTTTACCCTCTGTCCGTCTGTCCTTCCATCTGTCTGTCAGTCCGTCCGTCCACAAAACTGGATCCCGCGATAACTTGAAAAGTACTGAAAATATTTTTTTGAAACTTGGTATATAGATAGATGGCAGTGTGGAGATTATGCACGTCTTTTTCTTTTCTTCCTAAGTTGAAAATTCTGGTTGCTATGGCAACAAATAGGCTAAAAATATGGCAAATTTTACACATAAACTGGATCCAGTGATAACGCAAAAAGTACTGGAAATATTTTTATGAAACTTGACATATGGGTAGATGGCAGTCTTGGAATTATGCACGTCTTTTTCTTTTCTTCCTATGTTGAAAATTCTGGTTGCTATGGCAACAAATAGGCTGAAAATATGGCAAATTTTACACATAAACTGGATCCAGTGATAACGCCAGAAGTACTGGAAATATTTTTATGAAACTTGACATATGGGTAGATTGCAGTCTTGAGATTATGCACGTCTTTTTCTTTTCTTCCTATGTTGAAAATTCTGGTTGCTATGGCAACACATAGACTGAAAATATGGCAAATTTTACACATAAACTGAATCCAGTGATAACTCAAAAAGTACTGGAAATATTTTTATGAAACTTGACATATTGGAAGATAGCAGTCTTAAGATTATGCATGTCTTATCTGTTCTTCCTATTTTGAAAAAATATCAGTTGCCTTGGCAACAAATAGGCTTAAAACATGGCAAATATGACAATATTTGTGATAAGTCAAAAAGAGCTGAAATTTTTTTATGAAATTGCATCTTTAATTCAAGAGTTATCTCCTTTTTAAGAAGTTTGCTTTTAAAATGTTATATTTTGGTAACAGGGATGTTTCAAATATTAACTTTAGAGTGTCCTTCAGTCCGTCTGTCTGTCTGTCCATAAAAACTGTTTCCTGTGATCACTTTTAAAGAACTTTTCCAACAAGTTTATTTAAAATAGAGAAAAATTGAAACATAAGTGAATGGCCAATGGCCCTTCAGAATGTTGATAGGGTTCTTACCGGTAGGGGACTTATGGATTGCTTGCAATACTATAATAATTGCTTGTTAGGATTATTGTTAGTATGGAAAGTCACTTGAAAGATTAATATGGTTGAGCTTTCTTTCTTTGTTTTGTTGATTGTTCAAATTTTAACAAATCACTGGCTCAATTCTAATCCAAATTTTCATTTTCTTCATATCATTAAATGATATATTTTTTTTTATTTTCAGATATCTACAATGATTTTATTCTGGTTTAACTTGTATAGTGGGTACAGTGGAAACACTCATATAGACAGTTTATTCCTCCTAGGACAGCATGTTCTATTTACTGCATTTCCTCCAATAGTTAATGGCATAATGGATAAAGATCTCTTACCAGAGACACTTTTAGCATTTCCGTCTTTGTATAAAGTGGGACCGGAAGGGCGGGTAATTAAGCTTTTGTCAATAATTACAGATATCTAGATAATATAATGTTGGATATGTATTAATTCTTACCACATCCTTTAGTTAGACTTGTTGAAGTTTTATCATCACATCCTTTAATTGGACTTTCTGAAGTTTTACCTCACATCCTTTAGACTTGCTAAAAATGTATCAAGTTTGAAATCATTTTCAAAATAAATTTTTTTTTCTCTGACTGCTCTTATTATAATAATTTTAAGAATTTTGTAAGAAATGGTGTGATTTTTTTAAATTTGGTGCTAATGTTTTTCTTATGAATTTGTTTTGATATTATCTTTGATGATGTCTTATATCTTTTTTCAGACGTATACACGGTTATCATTTCTCATAGTGTTTTTAGATTCAGTCTATCAGAGTGTTGTTGTGCATTTTGTATGCTATTTTGTAAGTATTTTACAGTTTTATAGCGTTTCATAAAATTTATACTTCTTTGTATGTTTGTAGTTGACAAAAAAAAAACAACAACTCATTTTTAAGCATGAAACATCTTTCAAAACATACGTACTCAACCTATGTTTTTGATATACACTGTATGTGATTTATTTGTTAAAACTTTTGAGATACAATTTGTTATAGAAATATATTTGAACTTCAAAATATTACTTTCAATTCAAAAATATCACATTTATTGTTTGGCAGCTGGGGTTTACCATTAAGTTTGAATGTATATAAAAAGGATATACAAAATTTATTATGGCAGTTGTGCTTCAGTGATCAAGGTCACTGACCTGAAAATAAGCTGACCTCTGGTGGTCATATGTATGCATATACAAATGTATTTATTATAATAATAATTTGAATAATGCAAATTTGGAAATGGGGACATGACAAAATTAATGTTCTTGGTCATGCATGAAATAATGTGTTAAATTTGAATAGTGCTTTATAGAGACTCCTGTGACTGTTAAAGCTAGATATATATCGAGTGAATGACTTTGTTATAAAATTTTATACCACATGTTAATGATTAAAAATAAAAAAGTATGAATCAAACCAACAAGTTTGCATTTTGCTCAAAATAATAACTTACATACATGTCCGGAGGAAGGTAGTCTAGTACTGGTGTAACTCTCCAGGAACAATGGTTAGGAAACTACCCGCCTATATGACTGAAATACTGTTGAAAAAGGCGTAAAATGAAACAAACAAACAAACAAACATACATGTTGGTAGGATAAAAAGGAACAAAAACCAACACAATTTCTCAAAACATGTTTCACTTTGATAAGCTTCATCAGCTGATTAGTAACTACTGAAATATCATAAACATACCAAACAGATCTGCGTTTGAAAGAACTGTTTTATACATATAAGTCAGAATTGAACAGCATTGATTTTTACTAATAATAGAATGTTGATAAGCTGACTCAAATAAAATTTTCTTGCTAACTTACCTATACTAGTTAAGCTAAATGAATGATTTCCATTATTATAATTTTTGTTCAAACTTGTAATTTCAGGGTTATTTTGAGGGTGTTGGTATATGGGAGTTTGGTACAACCATGATGGTCTCCCTTGTTTTATCAATACTCTTTCACCAAGCTATAGAAACATATAGATGGGTACGTATATCATACATGTAGTTAATTATCAAAATATTTAAGAAAAAAAATTCAGTCTGCAAAGTATATTAATCTGTTATGACCTGCTTTCATTTTAAGAATAACATTATTCGTAGAACTGTTTAATAGTTGCAGATTTAATTCACATTGATTTTCCATAATTATTGAGGTCTTTCCATTTAATGCATTTGACTTGAGGAAAAAAACAAACTCATAATGAAAGAAACTTATACATCTTACATGAACATTGAATGGTGGTGCTACATTGATTCATTGATTTTGTATTATAAATGTTCTTATTATTGATATGTTCTAAGTGTTGTTCTGCAGATTAATGTCTTATTTTATGCCCACACTACTTAGGGTGTCAGAGGGTTTTATATAGATTTGGTCTTGTGTGTCTGTCTGTCACCCTATCCTGCTGTGTAACTGTCCGTCCATACACTGATAAAACAGTGGAATATGTTGGTTTCTGTGTCCTATGGACACATTTCTAATTATTAACTATATACTAGTATTGATATATCTTTATTGGTATTCTCATTTTACCTTTATTGTTATTTTATCATTCTTTTTTGTATAATTTCTACAAAAAATTGCATGTCTGTTTATAATTTGTATCTTTTTGTGAATGTAGATGTGGCCACAGTGGTTGACGTTAATCCTCAGCTTTGTGTTTTTCTATTTGTTTGGCATCATAATAGACTCATTTTTCATGACATTTGATCACCCAATGACGCCATATTGGGTCATGCAGAACACAATCTCAAAACCAATACATGCTATCATCGTGCTGATCTCCGTGGTAGTAGCTTTGTTGCCAAGGTGAGTGATTTGAGCTGTGTCACGACAAAACCAACATAATGGGTTTGCGACCAGCATGGATCCAGGCCAGCCTGCGCTTCCGCGTAGTCTGATAGGATCCATGCTGTTCGCTATCAGTTTCTCTACTTGTTATAGAATTGTAGGCGAACAGCATTGATCCTGATCAGACTGCGCTAATGCGCAGGCTGGTCTGGATCCATGCTGGTCGCAAACCCATTATGTTGGTTTTGTCATGACATGGCTCATTTTATTGTTTATTAAAGTGTAAATTGTTACCTCAGTGCAGTGGTGATGTGATGTGATGTGTAGTGTACACTACGGATCACGGCAGTAAGCCACATTGAATTTACCAAAGCACAGTTCAGCCACCGCATTTCAGTGCTGTAACAGGGTTACTCCTTATATAATTTAAAAGGTTTAAATATGTTACTGCACTAAAGCGACAATAATTATGTAATCTGTTTTACTGAAACTAGCATCTTGAAGGTCAGTGCTTCTAACTAGTTGCCTGCTTGTAAATGAAATAGTAAACCAGGGAATTATTTGCGGTTTTGTCCCTCGTAATTTTTGTAGAAAAGTCATATATGTGAGATTATTTTCGCTATGAAAATTGGATGATGCCCTGGTGTGAATACAAAATGTACAGAAGAAAATGCAGTGAATGTGCATTGAGATAAAAAAACAAACTATTTTTTGATAAAGTTTTGTAACATTTCTCAATTAGTATACATAGAGGATATTCAAGTTTTTTCTTTAAATACATGATTTATTTTCATCGAGTGGTATGAAAATAAATATTTCATGAGTGGTGGTAGCCACGAGTGAAATATGATAATTTTCATGCCACAAGATGAAAATAAATCATGTATTTATAGAAAAAACTTGAATTTTCTGTTTATTATATACATTTCTCTTTTTTGACATTAAAATTTGAAAGAATTTCCCTAAAATTTTGCGTTTTTGCAGAATTTAATAGAAAGTAGTCAGGCAAGACACCAGTGAAAATACAGAAAATATGTTTCACTGCAGTGAAAAATAAATTTTTACAGTGAAAATACAGAAAATGAAAATACGCATTTTATCTAATTAATATGTCTAATTATTTCATTTATAAGTTTACAATAAAATTTTTGACATAAATCAAAACTTGCAATGTTGTATTTTGTTTCCAGGGAGTTTACCTTGTCTTATAAATTCTATTTTTACCTGCAGAGTAATTGTACGCTCAGTACAGATGACAGTGTTCCCAGATGAGATCATGAAGGCGCAGCACTGGGAGAAGTTAAAAGAGGAGGAGGAACAAGAAGACGAAACTCAACCGAACTCTCGCGTAGCTAGTCCAGACTCGGGTTTCGATAATCGTAAAGACTCAAAAGACTCAGGTTATGATAATAAAGCCTTAGACATGAAAAATGATGCATCTGAACAGAATGGTTTGCCGGAAGTCGGGTATAAAAATGGCCGTGTACGTCACCGACAAAATAGTAATCAGAGAACCAACGAAAATCAAGTTGCGGAGACGACCACCTGACGGTGATCCTGTACACGAGTCAATGTAGAGAGAAACAACTGCGTAAAATGCAAACCAAAGACAATATCCGCATCTTTAATGCCGGGGAAAGATTGTCAACAGTCGAAAACGAAAAACAGTCTTATTATAGTAACGCAGGCCTTTATTGGCCATAGAATGGGTATAAGTATGTGCAAACAGTTTGTTTAGTTGTTACGGTCAAGTGTTTTGTTTTTACATTTTTATCTTACAGTTTTAATTAAATTTTACTTTGGTGCAAAACTTACACAATATTATATATGATCATGATAAATTGTACACAGATGAAAGCATGGTCTGTGTGAAGATGAAAAACCAAGGACCAAAAACTTACTTTAAAAATAACTTACATGGGACCACCAAATATTTGTGCCTTTTAGACATTGTTATCCAACAGTTTTAAGTTATCATAAAACTTTTGTTGAATCAATTTCCATCTTTTAGAAACAAAATTGTTTGGTTAAATTATTTAATATAAGAATAATATGGCTAAATGCAAAACTCAAGATCAAAGAGTTAAATAAAAAACTTACTTTATATTGTGATAATTATTTGCAACAGTAAAGGTTTTAGTGTCTTTTGGACATACAAATCAGGTACTTTACAATAGAGCGCAAACCATTTTGTATTTTATATTGTCATAGTTATGCAAAATATATTTTAAATTCATATATGCAAGAAGATAACATCATTTTCTGCTCAGCCGACTCTCTTACTAAATACTGCTGAATCCAAATCAAAACTTCTCTGTAATGAATTTTTTTTTTCATTATTAACCAGGTTTTCCGAAGGAAAAAACTGGTTATTAGATTGAGGTATGTCGGCGGGTGGGCGGATGGGCGGGCGGGTGTAAACAATTTCTTCTGTTCGCAACTCCTTGTAAATTTTTCAACGGATTTTGACCAAACTTCCATAGAAGCTTTGTCATCTAGTGCCCTGGCGCATATTGTCGGGGTTTTGCGATTGGATAATATTTGACCTAATTACGGCCTTTTGTATTTTTTCCTTATACAGAATTTATAGTGAACAATTTCTTCTGTGCGCATTTCCTCCTACATTTCTTCACGGATTTTGACCAAACTTTCACAGAACCTTTGTCACCAAGTGCCCTGGGGCATAATGTCGGGGTTTTGCGATTGGATAATATTTGACCTAATTATTGCCCTTTGTTTTTTTTCCTTATACAAAATATATAGTGAACAATTTCTTCTGTGCTGAACTCCCTCTACAATTCTCAACAGATTTTGTTCAAACTTTCACAGAAGCTTTGTCATCAAGTGCCCTGGCGCATATTGTCAGGGTTTTGTGATTGGATAATATTTGACCTAATTATGGCCTTTTGTTTTTTTTCCTTTTACAGAATATATAGTGAACAATTTCTATCGTGCGCAACTTCTCCTACATTTCTCAACGGATTTTGACCAAACTTTCACAGAAGCTTTGTTATCAAGTGCCCTGGCGCATATTGTTGGGGTTTTGTGATTGGATAATATTTGACCTAATTATGGCCCTTTGTTTTTCTCCTAATACAGAATTATCAATATATAGTGAACAAATTCTTCTGTGCTGAACTCGTCCTACATTTCTCAACGGAATTTTGTTCAAACTTTCACAGAAGCTTTGTCATCAAGTGCCCTGGCACATATTGTCGGGGTTTTGTGATACCTAATTATGGCCCTTTGTTTATTTCTTTATACAGAATATATAGTTAACACTTCTTCAGTGGCAATTCCTCCTACATTATTCATGTTTTACATTGCACATAGTTACATTGTTTGTTGCTTGTATTTGTATTTCAAATACAACATATTTATCTACAATGGTGATAATTGAAAACCTGGTTTCATGGCATTGCCATGTTTCTTGTTTTATCATTATTTCTTATTTCTATTCAGGAATTAACAAAGCATTATCAGTGCTGTATTCAATCAGGAATCACATTATTTTTGTGTTATTGATATATGTGCAGACTTTAAAGGGACTCCACTGCTGTTTTTTGACAGGACAGGACTTAAAATAAATTTTTTCGAGATTTTTATACCATTTGATGTAGGTCTATACCAATAACTTCTGTACAAGATTTCAGACCATTTGCTCACTTTGCTTTTCCAGAATAATTATTATAATTGTGAAAAATTACCTAAAATTGAAAACACTTTTCACTCTAATCTGGCAAAGAAAATAAGTGAAAACATGAATTTCAATTTCTTTTAGAGGATATTTCTTAATTATGGTTTGCATATCTTTCTATTCTAAGTAGTCAAGTTGGTCTATGTTAGAAATCAAATTTTATGTTTTAGACTTTTGGATCTCAATGGAGTTCCTTTAACACAATGAACTTTATCATAATCCCTCAATTCTGACTTGAGTCGGGACAATACTAATATCAAGAGTTCAAAAACATAATGACAAGGTTTCTGTTCATCAACATACATGAATTCTAATATTGAAAACACAAAGTAGTTATTACAAAAGAGCATATCAATAATGTGATAGGATATTTATATTTTATTTTTTTAATGTCCCTTTTTTCCATCACTTTATTGTGTTTAATGATAACAAAGATTTTTTTCAAGAATAATAAAAACTTTTGAAATCTTGAATAATGTTTGTAAAACTGTTTATCTGCTGTTGGAATTAAAGTAAAATACATTTTTTTTCTCAACTGTGATATTTGTAGGATATAGGTTATTATGCAGTTTTTTTTTCTTCTTAGAATATATTTTGAATGTGTTTCAAAGTTTTTTGTTTAAATTGATTTTTATCGTATAATTTTGTATGAGTTACAAATTTGTCTTCACCCAGAAAACCCTGGCCGTTTTTTTACTTCATAGCTTTGAACCACCAAGAAAGCCCTGACCCTTTTTGGCTTCATAGTTTGTTTCAACCCAGACCCAGAAAACCATGACCCTTGTTTTAACCATATCCTGCTGTTTTCCAATTTTATTAACATAGATACTTAAGGTCTAAATTATGAAGCATTGTACTGATAACAGAGATTAAATTTTTCAGTATTGACAATTCACCTGAAAAATGCAAAATGCAAAATTTTATTTACTGAAAACACTTGTATGTTCTTTTTTTTTTAGTTAAGAACGAGCTGACCTTAGATAGTAATTTATGTAAACTTTCAATACATTTCAATACATTCCAGTATGAATTTTTCTCATAAGTGATACTGATGCTCAAATATATTTTCTTAAATCAATGCATCATTATTATGCCCCCATTTCGAAGAAAAGGGGGTATATTGCTTTGCACTTGTCGGTCCGCCGGTCCGTAGACCAAATGGTTTCCGAGTGATAACTAAAGAACCCTTAGGCCTAGGAACTTCAAACTTGGTATGGTGATTGGTCATGACCAGTAGATGACCCCTATTGATTTTGGGGTCAAGGGGTCAAAGGTCAAGGTCACATTGACCTTGTAGGCAAAAACGGTTTCCGATCAATAACTAAAGAACCTTAAGGCCTAGGAACTTCAAACTTGGTATGGTGATTGTTCATGATCAGTAGATGACCCCTATTGATTTTGGGGTCAAGGGGTCAAAGGTCAAGGTCACATTGACCTTGTAAGGAAAAACAGTTTCCGATCAATAACTAAAGAACCTTAAGGCCTAGGAACTTCAAACTTGGTATGGTGATTGGTTATGATCAGTAGATGACCCCTATTGATTTTGGGGTCAAGGGGTCAAAGGTCAAGGTCACATTGACCTTGTAAGGAAAAATGGTTTCCGATCAATAACTAAAGAACTTTAAGGCCTAGGAACTTCAAACTTGGTATGGTGATTGGTCATGATCAGTAGATGACCCCTATTGATTTTGGGGTCAAGGGGTCAAAGGTCAAGGTCACATTGACCTTGTAAGCAAAAACGGTTTCCGATCATAACTAAAGAACTTTTAGGCCTAGGAACTTCAAACTTGGTATGGTAATTGGTTATGACCAGCAGGTGACCCCTATTGATTTTGGGGTTAAGGGGTCAAAGGTCAAGGTCACATTGACCTCTTGGGTAAAAAACGGTTTTCCGATCAATAACAAAAGAACCCTTAGGCCTAGGGACTTCAAACTTGATATGATGATTGGTCATGATCAGTAGATGACCCCTATTGATTTTGGGTTCAAGGGGTCAAAGGTCAAGGTCACATTGACCTCATAGGTAAAAAACGGTTTCCGATCAATAACTAAAGAACCCTTAGGCCTAGGAACTTCACACTTGGTATGGTGATTGGTCATGACCAGCAGATGACCCCTATTGATATTGGGGTTAAGGGGTCAAAGGGCAAGGTCACATTGACCTTGTAGGTAAAAATGCTTTCCAATCAATAACTTAAGAACCCTTAGGTCTAGGAACTTCAAACTTGGTATGGTGATTGGTCATGACCAGCAGATGACCTTTTGATTTTGGGGTCAAAGGTCAAGGTCACATTGACCTTGTAGGTAAAAAACGGTTTCCGATCAATTAACTAAAAACTTAGGCCTAGGAACTTCAAACTTTGTATGATGATTGGTCGTGACCAGCAGATGACCCCTATTGAGTTTTGGGTCAAGGGGTCAAAGGTCAAGGTCACATTGACCTTGTAAGTAAAAAGGGTTTTTGATCAATAACTTAAGAACGCTTAGGCCTAGGAACTTCAAACTTGGCATGGTGATTTGTCATGACCAGCAGATTACCCCTAATGATTTTGGGATCAAGGGGTCAAAGGTCAAGGTCACATTGACATTGTAAGTAAAACGGTTTCTGATCAATAACTAAAGAACGCTTCGGCCTAGGAACTTCAAACTTGGCATGGTGATTGGTCATGAGCAGCTGATGCCCCTCATTGATTTTGGGGTCAAAGGTCAAGGTCACATTGACCTTGTATGTTAAAACGGTTTCCGATCAATAACTAAAGAACCCTTAGGCCTAGGAACTTCAAACTTGGTATGGTGATTGGTCATGACCAGCAGATGACCTATTGATTTTGGGGTCAAGTGGTCAAAGGTCAAGGTCACATTGACCTTGAAGGTAAAAACGGTTTCTGATCAATTAACTAAAAACGCTTAGGCCTAGGAACTTCAAACTTTGTATGATGATTGGTCGTGACCAGCAGATGACCCCTATTGAGTTTTGGGTCAAGGGGTCAAAGGTTAAGGTCATGACCAGTAGATACTTGATAATCCTTTTTAATTGTTTGATCACTGGGTCAGAAGTCATGCATAATAACCTTATCACATGACTAATTGGCTGCTGATAGGGGGCATACATGTTTTACAAACATATCTTGTTATAGTGATATTAGTAAATAATTATATATGTATTTTATCTGATTATTTAAAATCTGTATTTTTCTAGATAGACAAGATTGTATAAAAGTATATATGAGCCGCGCCATTACAAAACCAACATAGTGCGTTTGCGACCAGCATGAATCCAGGCCAGTCTGCGCATCTGTGCAGTCAGATCAGGATCCATGCTGTCCGCTTACAAACCCTAAACTGATAGTGAACAGCATGGATCCTGATCAAACTGTGCGGACGCACAGGCTGGTCTGGATCTATGCTGGTCGCAAACATACTATGTAGGTTTTTGTCATGGGGCGGCTCATTTATTTATTAGAAAATGCTGAAATCCATGATATATAAATGCATAATGTCTTTCTCACAATGACTATTTTAGTCATCAATCATAGACTTTTACCACTCGATTCAAATATCTTCAAGTGAAAATTCATATATTTTTGGTCTACTTCTATAGTTTAATTAATTACTTACCGTCTTTTTCTTCTGTTTTTATTTGGCAACTAGGTATAGTAATAGTGATAGAACTTTTACATTTAATGTAATTTTCTTTCCTTTTTTAGAATAGGGACACAAGCTTTATGATTCGACATCTGGCCATATTTTTCAATCACATTTTTGTATATGAATGTCTATTTTCTTTATTTTTTAATGGTGGCATATTTTAGACATGACTAACATGCAAATTCATTAGGGATAAAAATATCAAAAAGAAATATGCAAAAAAAAACAAAAAACGTCAACATATGGTTATTGTGAATTCGATTAAAAAACAAAACATGCAGTCAAGGCATAATTTACATTGCATTAATTAAGTTGAGCCATAGTCATAAATGCCAGTATCATTAATATAAACTAGCCACTTATTCATCATTTCTTTCTTGTGATATTTTAAATTATTTTTGGGTGTTGAAGGATTTAGCTTTATACTCAGTCATTTCAGGGCATAGAAGTGTTATTTATTTTCTTAACTTAAAGTCATGACTCGTAGTTATCAAACAATTATAATGTATCTTGAAACAATATTCAGTATATATATGATGAAATACTTATCAATACATTGTTTCATATTTTTTTCCGTGTTTGTGTAGAGGGGCAGATTTAGGACCTTCGGTTACTTAAATGACTGTTATAGCATTGTATTTTAGGTTGTAAAGTTTCTCTCTATATATATATAGACTTGTGTGCAGGTTAAATAAACTTACCCAAGTTGTCTTTCAGTCGAGGCACTTGTGCGT